CAACTCTGAATTGTACACTTAAAAGGTGAATGGTATAATATATAAACTACATCTCAATGCAACTGTTTAAAGCAAGCGGAGGGGGAAGGAACATAACAGGGCCTATGTGAACTTGAAAAGGCATCCTGTGCTCAAAAATAGCCGTGTGGCCTTCAAAAAAGATCATGGTTCCAAGTGAATGAAATATATAACATGTTTAAATCCATGAACTCTTTAAAATTTTTAAGTATAGTACTTACATAGAGATAGATAGATAGATAGATAGATAGATAGATAGATATAGTTGCATCAAAATTATATAGAACTAAATACATATATGCACAATGAATACACATAAAATCGGTGCAATCAGCCAAACAGGAGAGGTTGTATCACCTGTCACTTCTGGCTGTGAACTACAGTTAAACAGGATAACATTATCTGGTTCCTGTGCTTTAATTATAGCACAGGAAACTTAGTGAGGACACACCCTCTTTTACAACTCCCTGTGAAAATATAACTATCTTTTAAATATATATATATACATATACATACATACATATATATATATATATAACTATCTTTAAAGGAAATTTGGTTTGAGGTGTCTTCTGTTTCTTTGTTTGAAGTGGGGTCTTATGCAACCAAGGCTAGTCTTGAATTCACTATGTAGCCAAGATTAGTATTGATCTTCTGATGCTCCTGCCTCAACTTCCTAAGTGCAAAGATCACAAATGTGTGCTAATATGTCCAACTTTAAAAAAATTCTTATTAACAAGAAAAGTGCTTTCTCTTTCTGTTTATCCTACACTGGAGCAATGGGAGCTCGAAAATCACCACACTGAAATATGGTAGGTTTGAACACCATGAGTATTTGACGCTTGTAAAAAGTAAGGAAGGTAGAGACACTGAATAAATTAAATTGCATCAGATACTCCTGAAAACTCATACCCTGAAAAAAAATAGCAAAATAAAAAGGAAGAAATAAAATAAATTTTTTATTCTTGTTATAGATTTCATTCACTTGGAACCATGATCTTTTTTGAAGGCCACACTCTGTTATTTTCAAAAATAAAAGGATGCCTTTTCAAGTTCATGATCTGTTTTTTAATGGTAGTCAATATAGGAGTCATTTAATATTTTCAAAGCATGCAATCATCTCTGACTTCTGAGAACAGTATCAGTATATAAAGAACAGATTTATAAGCAAAAAGGATATCCTTAAGGTATCAAAAAGATTAATAAATTTATAGTTTACTCATGTATAGGACCATAAGATATTAATTTTTTTAAATTTTCTTTGAAAATGAGAGTATATCAATTTAAAGATTGACTAAATGCTAGATTCATGATCTGGTGAAATCGATCAGTAGTAGAGAGCTTACCTAGCATGCCTGAGGCCCTCCATTCCATCCCAATCACCAGTCATCAGTCAGAAACACATGCATGCGCGTATACACACACACATACATACACACATGAGCATGCACTACTGACCACACACCTACCTGGTGGTATGTGGGGGTTATATGAAGCTAGCTACCTTTTAAGAGTAATAAGCAACCAATTCACTTCTTTCCATGTTTTATTTTATGTGTGTGGGTTTTTGCCTCCATGTATGCCTGTGCACTATGTATATGCAGTGTCCTACAGGGGCCAGAAGAAGGCATCAGATCCCGTCGGACTAGAGTTATAGACAATTTTTTAGCGGTGTGCTGAGAATTGATCCTAGGTCCTCTGGAAGAGCAGCCACTGAGCTACTTCTCTAACCCTCTAATTCTTTTGTTTCTTTGTTTGTTTGTTTGTTTTTTGAGAGAAGGTTTCTCTGTGTAGCCCTGGCTGTCCTGGAACTCTCTCAGTAGACCAGTCTGTCCTTGAACTCACAAAGATCTGCCTGCCTCTGCCTGGGATTAAAGGCGTGCACCACCACGCCCGGCTTTTTATTTTTAAATTTGGTAAAGGAGCAAGCATTTACCTACCATTCATATGTAACCTGTACCAATGACTAAGAAAACAGTAAATGGAAGGAACAACCATTCTGTGAAAGGCTCTCCATCAATAAATTCAAAACAATTAGGATCCCATCATCCACAGTCCCCGTGAATTCATGGACACAGCCACTAAGCACAGCATCAGCTGATGTGACTAAAAGGATGGAGAGGCAGACACTAGCTACTTTATGCTAGAGCAGTGGTTCTCAACTTCCCTAAAGCCGCACCCCGTTAATACAATGCTTCATGTTGCAGTGACTCCACCATAAAATTATTTCATTACTACTTCATAACTGGAATTTTGCTACTGTTATGAACTGTAATTATCAGATATACATATCTGACATGTGACCCCTGTGGGGCTTGTGACCCACAGCTTGAGAATGTGACCCACACCATGCTAGAGGAAGCCACCACTACGATATTCACGACACAGGTACACCATGAACTTGGTCACACTTTAGAGCTCAGCTACCATCTGCAGGGAATGCAGACCAGAGACAACAGGTGAACTGTATTGCAGCTGTCAATCAGTAATTCAGACTGGGCAAATCTACAAGCTTAATGTTCTACGGTCTTCGGAGGGTAAAAATTAATGAGAAGACAAATGCAGGATGTGATGGAAAGCAGATGAGTAATGCCTTGGACAAGCATTTCTTTAAATGGTCAAGGTTCACCGTAGGGTATACCCCTAGGCGATGAGAGGAAAATGAAAGGCAAGGAAGAACTCACTTTCCAAACCAGGCCAGGGACCCCTTTAGGAACACAATGGATGTGATGAGTGTGACACACACAGGGGTGGCTGGGGCAGGTAGCAACTCTAATTCCTGATCTGCGTGATGGGACAAGTGTGCTCCAGCTTAGGATAAAGTAGTAACACAGTTAAATCAGGTGACTATCTGTATTTGTGTTTTACTGGACAATAAAAGAATAGGGAAATTCATACCACTAGAGCAAACTGGAATGAACAGAACACAATCCTGAAAACAAGCACATAAAAATAAATGCAGTTACTATATTTTTACCACCTGATACAGCTTCCGCAGGGTCCCTATGTTGTAAAGAAATTAACGTCAGGTGGCAAGGACATTCCAGAACTCAAATGAGCCCTTCTTGTGACTTGAGGCCTACAGATGCATGAAAGGTACTGTGACTCCAGGTCACTCCCACTGTCTCATCTGCCTCCTTGAAGTCAACCTAAATTAATTTCACAGGCATCTCCAATCCTACCTTACGGAAATGTGACGTCTAGTGAGTGAAGATAAGTCAGGCCAACAAAAAGATGGGATAAAGCTCTCCCAGGCTATCAACAGACTTGCTTTACTCATCCAACCCTTTCAAAACAACCTTAAAAGGTTTGCTTTTCCATTATAAGCGTTTAAGCAGGAGGCCAAGCCTGCAGCCAGGTGAGAGGTGCTCGTCCTCATCCTAGCTACGAGCACACACACTTCACTATGACTAAGGGCACCTCTGCAGCCTAGCAATGCTCCACGTCTGCCTTCACGCCTAATGCATTAGTAATTCCTAAGAGACACGACGCCCTGCATCTGAAAGGCAAATTACAGAAACAGGAACAGATGGGCTCCTTCATCTGAACTCCGTATCTTAAAACAGGAGCCACACCCTGAGCGGCTTGCCAGGTCGTCATCACTACCCTGAGCTGAACTCAGTCCCATTAGAGAAAAAAATGGAGGTGGGGAATCAGATTGCATGAGAGGCAATATTAACTGGCAATGAACAAACTGGAATTCAAAAGGATAATCACACCTTTTAAACATTTAGTAAAAACAAACATAAAAAATGTCCTGACTCACAAGAATACAATTTTACAATTTGAGACCAAGACAATTTCATTCTCCCTACCCCAAGTTGTTCTACATTGGTTGGAACACAGAGAAAGCATGAGCCAGAAGGGGTGCACTTCTCAATGCTGCTACTCCCAGGAAAGGGCACAATGACACTAACACTTTAGGATAAAGTTCAAGCAGGACTTTTTTTATTTTATTCTATGTGTGAAGGTGTTTGCCTGCCTGTAAGTCTGTGCACCCCAAGCATGCAGTGCCCGTGGAAGCTAAAAGAGGGCATCATACTCCCTTAAACTGGAGTTTCAGATGGTTGTAAGCCTCCATGCGGGTATGGGAATAGAACATGGGTCCTCTCTAAGAGGAACCAGTGCTCTTAATTACTGAGCTATCTCTCCAGTCCCCAAGCATGAATTACTTAAAGGGAACTTGAATAAAAGAGGAAGACTGGGGTGAGATTTCTTCATCTTCACCCTCCATATCTGTCTTCCTTGCAGTGTTAGACTCCTCCAAGGCCCACTCCCTCTGTCTCCTGCTCTCCAGTCCCTGTCTACCATGTTGTGAGAACGCTCAGCTTCCTAGCTAACCTCGCTCTTTCTCTTGTTTTTACATATTCATGAGACATAAATACAAACAAATATTGATAGACCTGCTAAACTGGTTGACACAGGAATTCCAAGTTCCTTCTGACACACAGTACTTATAGAAGCCTAGCCAATCGTCTCCCTGTATTCTCTCTGTACAAGATGTATTCCCCTTCTCTAAGGACTAGTTACAGCCCCCACTTTTTATGGACAACCCCGGCAAAACAACTCCTTCCATGGACACGACTTTGGAGGGGGACTCGCGAGTACTAACGAAGCTCTAGTTCCCCCCCAGCCCCTGCCGAGATCAAGACTTTGAAAACACAGTCTGCAACACTCACTTAGCCTCCATTCTAAAAACGGCTTCAAGTAAAACACATCCAAAGCACAGACTGGATTCTACTTAGACGCATAGCGTCACTCCAAGGCACAAGCAAAAACTCAAAGCTCACCAGAAGTTCCATTAGACGCCATCCTGGGCTTCTATATTTTCAGCCACAGAAGGCACCCTGACCCATGGGCCTGGGACTCAGAGCAAATCTACAGCAGGAGAATGGCTAGGCACCAGGTGGGAGAGGAAGGTGGTATTTGTAGTTTCTGATGAGACCCAGAGAAATAAGAGAGCCTCCTTGAGAATTACTTACTGCCTGGTGGATGTGCGCCTTCACTTGCTCACTCAACATGCCTTCAAAGACAAAGGAGTCGCCAAACTTCTCTGCCTATAAGGAGGGTAAAAAAAAAAAAAAAAAGCCAGAAAAGGTTAGAGTCATGGGCTTCAAGGGTGCCATTTTTTTTTCCCACAGTGCTACTATGGTAATTCTTCCCATCCAAGAGGACTCAGGTTTTCCCTATGACTTCCTGAACTACTCAGAAATGACTCAAAAGCATCCAATTTCCTGTCAGACAGGTTTATGTCACTTAGAAAGACAGCTCTCACATGAGGCCTGGTTAGCGGATAGGACTGCAGACTAGAAGAGACTAGATTTTGAGAAGATGAATGCCCTGAGAAGAAACATATTTCTCCCGATATTGTAAATAACTCTGAGAAATGACAGAATTAACTGTATATGATATTACACAAGCAGCTGTTTGTCCACTGCCCTGCTCCTAAGATCTACCTTAAAGAATTAAACAGCACCGCTTGCTGATTCTCTGACACATTCCATGTGTTTACAGTTGCCAAGGGACCAATCTAAGCATCAGGAGGAATCTGCATTTTAATCATTTTTTGACAGTGCTATCACAAATCTTCATTAATATCTGCTCCAAGAGTGGGGCTCTTATACCTTTAGTACCTGTGACTCTACTGCTCTACCTTGCTTCTTACGTTGCCAACTGCTCTTACACATCCGTGAAACATAAGGACTCATTTCCCTGGGGCTCCCCAGAGCTTTCCAGAGCTCTGCGCCTGCTTATGTGAACTTCTTATACTAGGCCAGCCCCTCGGTAGCTTGTGCAGCTTCTTAAAACTTGGTCTGCAGGGGGCTGGAGAGATGGCTCAGAGGTTAAGAGCATTGCCTGCTCTTCCAAAGGTCCTGAGTTCAATTCCCAGCAACCACATGGTGGCTCACAACCATCTGTAATGGGGTCTGGTGCCCTCTTCTGGCCTTCAAGCATACACACAGACAGAACATTGTATACATAATAAATAAATAAATATTTAAAAAAAAAAAAAAAACTCGGTCTGCAGCTCTCCAGCCCCAGAGATTCTAATCACGGGAGCTGAAAGGAGGCCAAACAAGATGCCTTGTTAAGTCCGGGAGTTCTAGCACACCAAGCTCAAGAGAAACACATGACTGGCTATAAGCAGTCCCTTCTAGTCTTCTCACTTTAACCATGACCAGTTCTTGGAATCCCCCTCCCAGTCTCCCCATCGAGGCCTGGCCTATCCTCAACAGATGAAGTTAACTGAGTCCTGAACCCTGTACATCAGGCCTTACAAGAGCCTCTAGTCTGTTTTTATTGATTAGATATGAATGTCTTCTTCACCTCTGACAGTATTTGTATGATCCTAGCAATACCACGATGCCCAACAACCCAAGTCACTTATTCATTCAACATATACGACACCTACCACATGCCTGGTCTAGGGCTAAATCAGGGATTACTGTTGTCGGTATTTCATAGTCATGGACTCTGTCCTCTTTTACATTTTTACCAACAGATATTAATTATATGTAATAAAGGATTTGATGATGGTATTTTCATACATGTAGAGAAAGCACTTGGATCCTATGCACTCATTATCCTCTTATTCCTTTCCTCCTTTCTATAATCATCCTCTCCTTCCCAAATAGAGTCTTTTCTCCATCCCTGTCCCCATGTTGGGGAGGGGGAAAGGCGTGTGTGTGGAGGGGGTGTATCCAAGTAGGTATGTGGGGGAGGGGTGGGGATGGGGAAGAAGTGGGGTGGAGGAGGTGTATGTGTATTCCAGTGAGTTTAATTATGGGTGCTTATAGGAACTTGAGTAAAAGGTTATTTAGGAGCATGGGTACGTGCTCTTGGCTATACAGGAAATTGTAGAAAATGGCTCTCCCTCTCCCAGTGAGCACTAACTCACTATAAATTCTCAGGGAGGGATGCTCTCTGCTCTTAAGGGCTTAAATGTGAGGGCAGAGATAAAAGTCACGCTGGAAAAAAATCATAAGAATAATTAATACTTAATTCTGCTTGTATAAGTTAAAACAGTTAACAGCCTCCTGGTAGAGTGAGTAGAAGGCTCCTTGAAAAAGGGACAATCCAGCCAAGCAGAATGAAGCGGCAGCAAGTCATGCAAGAAGAGACAAGCACGGGGCTCTGGTTCCAAGCAGAGGGAACTAAAGGCTCTAAGGTGGAAGGATGCATCATCCTCAAGAACAGAAACAGAGTCACCGGGTGAGAACGTAGTGAGGAGTGGAGAATGTGTACAATGAAGTTAGAGATATGGAAGGGAAGTCTGAAAAATGCCATGCGAATAGGAAACGCTGTGCGCAAGGCAAGGAGTCTCATTCTGCTGTGCCGTCCACCCTCCTGGTAGCATGAAGCTGAGACCTCCACGGAAAGAGAGGTTCATAAGGCAAAACCAACAGGATTACCAAGACAATTACTTAAAATTAGTGCCGCAACGGTATGTGTGCTTATATAATAAATAACATCAAATCAGGTTTTACAATTCTCATATTTCAAGGCGGGGGATGAATGCAAACAGCACTTCAACAGCAACAACATGACTGACAATGCCTGGCTGTAACTTTTCTTGGTGATAAAGTCCTCTGTGCATTATTATCATGGCTCGTTGTCTATGTCTGAGTGAATGTAAAGATCGCAAATATGGAGACGCATCCTGAGATATCTCACATTCTCCTCTGCTGGAGGCTGGGGAGGCAGAGCTAGGTTTATCCCAGGCTCACCAGCCAGCCAGTCTAGCCAAAAGTGCTACCTACAGGTTCAGTCGGAGACCCTTTCCAAAAATAAGGCAGAATATCAGGCAGTTCACCACCACTAGTAATTCTAAGTCCAGCAGATCCAATGCCCTCTTCTGACATCTTTGGTCACATACACATACATTCTCTCTCTCTCTCTCTCTCTCTCTCTCTCTCTCTCTCTCTCTCTCTCTGCCTCCCTTCTCCCTCCCTCTCTCTCCCCCACACACAAGTACACATAAACTTTTTTAAAAACAGTAATATAGAGAAGATAGAGTAATAATATAGAGTAATATAATATTGAGGAAGATATCCCGAGATTAACTTCTGGATTCTATAATACCCACATGGGTGAATGTACCCACATCCTCACATAGGTACATACATAAGTACATACAAAAGTACATACAACCCACCACTATCACCACCCCACACACAGACTTTTTCTAACAGATTATGAATTAAGCTAAGAATATGAACAAAAAGAATTTTTGCTTTTGCTTACTACAAATATCTACAAACAAGATTTATGACCACTTCGTATATTTTAGGAAATTCCAAAGAAATGAGACAGTGCAGAACTGAATCTGAATGTTGTTTTGCTTTTGGCATTCACCCAAGGGATTTTTTTAAATTAGAAAAAAAAAAGAGTTTAAAGTAGGGACTCCATAAACTGAATAAAAGGGTAACTTTTTGATGAGATTTTTAAAAAGATAGGATTTAGGAAAAAGTACATTTGAGAGTCTCATCAAAACACTGCCTTGCACTATGATTCAGTGACCCCTGGAAAAGGGCTGAAACTGACCCCAGAAAAGAGCTCCGAGTCACCAAGTACTAGAACAAAACCACAACAATGAAAAGCTGCACTTGGGCACCTGGGCACCCTTATGAAGTGTGTAACGCTTGGGGGACGGCAGTCTGTGGTGCACTGAGAAGAATCACCCGCCGGCTGTGTTCTCAGAAAGCCTAGAGAGTAGCAGCCCTCTGCAGTGGAATAAAACACTACCACAATACAGCATACGGGTTAGCAGCAAAGGTTCTGTGGTCCATACCATGCCTGACTACAGTCATTGACTGGCAGTATGATTGGGATGAATCAGGTTTGAGTCTCAGCTTGTTACATCATGGAGATGCTGTGAGAAATTACATGAAAGGCAGATAGGAAGTGTTCATCACAATGCTAGGCACAAAGTAAAAGTGTCCAGAGTTCAGTGTTTGTAGTAACTAAGTCCTTCTTGGATATTCTGGATAATGGCAAGTTCTCCCTCCCATCACCAAGCCCATTACCTCTGTCAAATAACCAGTTGAGTTCACGAACTTCTCAAAGTCAGCATTACTGACTTCATAGGCATCCATGTAAAAGGCATCGACGGTGACTCTCCTGGCAGGGGCTTCTCCATCCTGCCTGATCTGAGGATCATCAGTCCCCATTGTAAACACTCCAGCGGGAATAGGGACCATCTGCAGTGAAAGGGGACACACAGGGCATTATGCATCAAAAGCAAAGTGTATCTGTAAAGTTCTCAGCACACAACAAGCACACAGTTCTTAAAACCCCCACTACAGAAACCTCTGCAAAACTAGTAAAATGAAGGGCCTGGAACATGGCTCAAGGGTGAAGTGCTTTCTGCACAACGACAGGGACCTGAGTTTGGAACCAAACAGCCACATAAAAGCTGGACATGGTGGCTCAGATCTGTAACCCCAGTGGTGGGGGTAATTCAGGGTCAGAGACAGGAGAATCCCAGGGGCTCAGGAGTCATCAAGTCTGGCTGAATCAGTGATCTCCAGGTTCAGTGAAAGACTTTGCCTCAAAAAAATAAAGTGAAGAAGCATCTGAGAAAGATACCTAATGTTAACCTCTGGCTGCCACATGTGCATGTATTTATGAGTGTGCACATGCAACAAATCACACACACAAACACACACACACTCACATACACAATTTGTAAAATCACTCCATAGTCAATGACAATGGATCACAAGTTATAGAAAGAAGGAAAACTTTTTTTGAAAAGTGATCTTTCTAGTTGAACTCCTAACAAACAGATTTGGACATGCAAGAAGACAGTTCTGGGGAAACTGTGGCTAACCATGAACTGTGGAGATAAGGGAAATCGGAATTCTTTATTTTTTAAGATTTACATTTTTTTAATGTATGTGTAGGTGTCTGTGTCTCTGTGCCTATGTGTGTATGATCATGTGTGGGGGCACTTGTTGGGACCAGAAGAGGGTGCTGGATCCCCTGGAGCTGATATTACAGGTGACTATGAGCAAGACAGCCCACCTGGTATTCCAGGCTCAGCAGGTGGAGAGAGAGGATCATTCCCAGGTGTTGGATTAGGTTTCTGTCCTGCCCAGCCCTGTAGCTGTTCAGTCCCAAAGAAACACAAGAGGTCTGTATTAATTATAAACTGGTTGGACTATTAGTTCAGGCTTCTTATTAACTCTTACATCTTAAATTAACCCATAATTCTTGTCTATGTTAGTTAGCCACTTGGCTTGGTACCTTTTATCAGTGAGGCATCCTCATCTTGCTTCCTCTGTATCTGGGTGGTGACTGCAGATTGAGCCTTTCCTTTTCCCAGAACTCTCCTAGTCTGGTTGCCCTGTCTATACTTCCTGCCTACTGGCCAATCAGTCTTTTATTAAACCAATACAAATGACAAATCTTTACAGGGTACAAAACCATTGTCTCACAGTACCCAGGAAATGCTTGCTCATAAGACTAGACATATAAGATAGCTCTGGGTTTGACTAAGATGCTCAGCGTCCATAAATACAGTGGGAGAGCAATAAGAGTGATAACCAACTTCAACCTCTAGCCTCCATACAAGACGAGCATGTGCTCAGACACTGCAAATATGAATACCTACACACACACAACATTAAAATTCAAAAATAATAAAATGTTCAAAACAACACAATCCAAAGAGTCTGGGAGTAGGTCTATGGTAGCCAGTGGCTATGAGGAGGCAAGAATGGGAAATGACTGTTTAATGGATACAGTGTGTCTTTGGAGATACTGAAATATTCTGGAATAAGATTGCACTAACAATTTGACTTCAATAAAAAATAAAATCACTGAGTTATACACTCCAAGAGAGTGGATTATATGATGTATGAACCATATATTCATTAAAACTAGGCTCTCAGTTGGGCAGTTGTGGAATAAGCCATAAATCCTAGCACTCAGGAGGCAAAAACAAGAGAACCTTTGAGTTCAAGGCCAGTCTAGTCTACAGAGTGAGTTTCAGGACAGCCAGGGATACACAGAGAAACCCTGACTTGATATATATAGATTCTCAACTATACCATCTGTCAGAACACTCTCTATAGACAAAAGGCATAGCTTTAAAATCATAAGAACAAAAAGTCAATTTACAAGCCTCTCAGATTTTGTGAACTGTCAAGTCTCTGACCTAGAAGCAAGAGTTCAAATCAAAGAAAGAGAAAATAAACTCAAAGATGTTATTAGTTGGAGGGTAAGCACTTCACAGTAAGCATAGAAGAGTTAAAATCCAAGGATTACTCTCCTTATATCCCATGCCTTCAGATTCGCTCAGCCAGCGGTAACTTCCTTCAGTCATGTGCATAAATTTTCCAGTCTCAATAGTGCCATTTTTTTAATTTATATGTATGAGTGTTTTGGCTGCATGTATGTCTGGGTACCACACCACATGCATGAAGTGCCAGGGCCAGAAGAGGGTGTCAGATCCTCTGTAACAGGACTGTTAGCAGCAACATGGCTGCATGGGAACCTGTGTCCTCTGCCAGTGTATCAAGTGCTCTTAACCTCTGAGCCTTATCCCAACCCCACTGGTACTGTGTTCAGCTGATTTGTATCAAATGTAGTATTTGTCTGGTGTATCAATCCAGTACTAAGAAATAAACCCTGAATTTCTCTACCTCCAAATCCCAACATCCATAGGTCACGTGGCCTGGTTGGTCCTCCTAGTATCTCTTCCTAGTATCTCACTCTTCTCCTGTCCCAGGCAACTGCAGTACCCTCACCAGGACCTCCCTGGCTCCAGTCTCATCTCTCATTACCCATTCACATCTCTCCATTCCTGCCACCCATTTATGCCACCCAGTCATTCACTTATCAAGGATTTGGATCCCAGTTGAGTTTTCTGAAAAAGCAGCACCACAACTTTGTCACAGAGAAAAACAGAAAAAAACTAAATCACCAGTAGTGTATTGTTAAAGCTTACGGTAGGCCATGCAGAAACAAAAAGCAAAGCAGACATAAGAAGGTAAAGAGGAAGCTTTTAATATGGTGGCATGGGGCAATCTGACCAATACAGAACTAGGGGAGGAAGGTGGGGTGCATACAGAGGAGGTGGCATTGCCCCATGTGTGAGAAAGAGAAAGTTAAGTACAGGTGACTTTGGGGTCATGGATTTTAAGATTTGCTTGCCTTTCGTTGTCTGGAGGGGAACAGTATAAGTGAGTAGACATGTTTCTCACTCTACACCCAATTCTTTTTAAATTTTAGAACCATATATATGTAACATTTTTTAAAAATTCATGGTGGCCCACACCTTTTATCCCAGCACTGTAGAGACAGAGGTATATAGATCTCTGTGAATTCAAGACCAGCTGGGTCTACATAGCAAGTTTCTGGAAGGCCAGAGCTATACAGTAAGACCTTGTCTCAAAATCAATACATAAAGAAATTAATTAATTAATCAATAAACTGAAATATCAGCCTATCAAACCCACTTTTTTATTTAAAACTGTGTAGCGGGGAGCGGCAGGCTGCGTTCTGCCCAGCTCCCAGCCACCTGGCTGGCTAGCTTATGCCCCGAAATAATTACACAGAAAGTGTATTCTTTTAAACACTGCTTGGCCCATTAGTTTTAACCTCTTATTGGCTAGCTCTTACATATTGATCTAACCCATTTCTAATATTCTGTGTAGCACCACAAGCTGGCTTACCAGGAAAGATCTTAACCTGAGTCTGTCTGGAGTGGGAGAATCATGGCGACTGACTGATTCAGCTTCTTTCTCCCAGCATTCTGTCTGTCTACTCCACCTACCTAATTTTCTGTCCTATCAGGGCCAAGCAGTTTTCTTTATTAATTAACAAATGACCTTCCTCCATCAAAACTGTGCAGGACTTCCATCACATTTCAGGGTGCAATACCAAAACAACGGAATCTAATACTTATCACCTCTTACTTGTACTCGCTGAATAAATTCTATAAGACACCTTGTCTCTTTATAAATTATATCACTGTTCAAGGATCACCTCCTTCTCAGGCTTCTCCTGCCACACATCCTTCTCTTAGCTGTGTTACGGCACCTCACTCTACTTCCTCTGATGACATCTCTGTCTATTGTGATATCTCTCTCTCCTCTCTCTCTCTGAATCACAAACACACAAGTCATCTTAGTTATATGTTTTCTTTTTTAACTTTTTAAATGCTTTATTTACCTGTACGATTGTGTGTACATTTGTAGGTATGTGTGTCTATGTGTGCACGTGTGTGTGCACATGTGTGTGTGCACATGTGTGTGTGTGTAAAGATAGGCACACACATGTAGATGTGTTTGTGAAAACTAAAGAACCACCTTGAGTATCATCTTCAGGCCTGGAGCTCACCAGCTTGATTAGACCAGCTGATTAACAAGACTCAGGTATCTTACTGTCTCTGTCTCCCCAGTGCTGAAACCAAAATCACATGGCACCACACCCAGCTCTGTATGTGGGCAATGAGGATCAAACTGTGACTTCATGCTGACAGGGTACCACACCCATCTCTCTACGTGGGCAACAGGGGTCAAACTGGCTCCATGCTTACAGGGCACCACACCCAGCTCGAACGTGAGCAATGGAGATCAAACTATAACTCTGTGCTTACAGAGTAAGCGCTTTGCCAACTGAGTTCTCCTCACAGCCTCTTCTGTTATGTTTCTCCTTACAGTATCTTAGGCTCCTTATGAACAAATTTTCTCTCTCTAAACCTCCAGCACACCACATGGCACAAGATCCACCGGCAAAGGGCAAATGATCTTCACTGACTGAACATGTAAGACCACAAATATGACAAGTAAGCTACTATTTGAATTATTTATAGGCAAAATGATCAAAAGTCCATTTCATTTGTAAGACCGTCTCAGTCATAAGCTACATGTATGGGTCATAGTGAAATGTGTAACAGTCTTGGCTCAGGGGCCAAACTAGATTTGCCCATTATTCTTAATACCATAGCTTCTGGGACACAGGTTCTACAGTCCTTATGAGAAAAGTGGGATTTTTAAAAACAGTAAGTAGAAAAACTTAAGATTTCAAACAAAAGTCTCAAGAGTAGGCTTATAGAAGCCAGATAGATGGCTCTGCAGTTAAGAGCACATACTGTTCTTTCAGAGGATGAGAGTTCAGTTCCCAGCACCCACGCCAGGTGGCTTACAACCTGTAACTCCAGCTTCAGGAGATCTGACACCCTCTTCTGGCTTCCTGTTGTGTAGCAATTTCCTCCTAGATTAAGACCTTCCACCTTGGAAGGAGGCGTCTTACAATACAGGATGTTTACAAAAAGGTAAAACAGGGTCTTTTAGGAGGAGATAAAACATTCCTTCCTGCAGGGAAACTCATTAAGCCAAGGAAGAAAAAAAAAGATGATGGAAGTCCTTGAACTAACCAGATTCACAAGGTCCCTCTCTCCCTAGCACACTTAAGCAGTAAGAACGGCTAAGAGAAGCTCTCAGACGAGCTGATCTGTCTGGAAGAAGCAGACACCAGACAACGCTCTCCAAGCTGATGAACTGCATAGAGGCTGTGCAGTGTGCTCCAGTATCCAACTTGTGTGAGCTGTCACCCATGCTGAGGTGAACTTTTTTGATGCAGCTGTCCTTGGGTCATTTCTGCTCCTCTGAGTAACCCCTACGCACGCTCCTATGAGTAACGCTGAGGTGGAATTTGGTGGCATCCTTTCTCTGGCCTGTCACCAGCTCTCCATCTAGGGTGAAGAGATGGGCCATGCACTCATATGCATATTCCACACATGCACATAATTTAAAATAATGTCAAAATAGTCTCAAAACGAGTCTTAAGAGCTCCTAAAGGTTTCATAGGGAGCCGTATTTGATGCTGTCATCACAGTCCTTGAATGGGCAAGAATATCATGAATTCAAGGTAAGCCTGGGTTATACAATCAGCCCCACCCCCATCAAGAAAAGGTTTCATAAAGGAGTTACAGGAAGTGGGGAAAGGGGGTAGAACCAAGTTCACTGAAGACAAGGTCGTGCTAGGAGAAGAGCTTCATGTCCCTCAGCTCAAACACACAGCCCAACGGAAACTGTGCCCAACAGACTCCTACAATTCCTAATTAGTTCTCAAACTCTTCTCCCCCAGATGAATGCTAACAATGCTACCATCGTCACAGCTTGCACTGTGAACTCCTGGCCTAATTTCTTTTCCCTCTTTGATTAACCAACAGAGAAAGACAATATTGAATAGGCCAAGTTTCCATCCTGAAGGATAGAGATAAAAATAGCTCTAGACTACTCTAAGTAGATCACAATTTCTAACTTATACTAATCAGACTCTTTGTCCTACAAATGTAAAATGTTCATTCTAGTGAAATCCCGCACATCCAGGCATTTCACTCTTCTGGATCAGGGGCCAAATTAAAAGAATCCAATAATCCATTCTTCCCTGTGTCTAGAGGTGAGTTAAAAATCCCCTGGCGCACCATAGTTTCTGCCACAGCCACTTAAGACAGACCTATAGGGGCTAGTGGGACAGTTCAGAGGGTGAGGCTAATTATTGCACGAGCATGGCAAGCTGAATACAATCCCTGGACCCATGTAAAGGTAGATAGAGAACTGAGTCCTTAAAGTTGTCCCTTGACCTTCAAGGAAGCAATTACATAATTGCACACACAAACTTAATAAACATATTTTTTAAAGACTCGAGCATAAGGTAGTTAAAAATCATTTCATTATCACAGAACTGTTTAGGCCGCACACCACTATGAAGTGCAGTGAGCAACTGCTAGTTTTGCCTTACCCAGCATCTATTCCTCTACATGCAAGAAGCATCTGAAGTCTCCTTTGAAAACTCCCTTCTCAAAACCACATGAACATATGTGACCCATGCAAAGATGGATGACTCAACTACACGTCCTATGGCAAAGGCCTGTGTTCTGCATGCATTATGTGCCATGAACCAATGAAGACGACAGCCAGGCTTTGGGTCTACGCTGGGTGGAGTTTATTAGGTAAAGAGCAAGCCTTTAAGCATCAGATCAGAAAAACTATCCAGCAGAGACTGACGGGGAAAGTCCCAGGCACCAAAAAACTACCTAGAGCCTCTGATCCACAAAAAAAAAAAAAAAAAAAAAAAAAAAAAAAGTCCAAGGCAGAAAGTTTTCTCCTGGGGGGGGGGGAGGCTTTCCATTAGCCACACCCACCACAGGCTTTGTTGTATCATGGGATAAATAGTAGCTGAGTCTACCGTTTGGTAAGTATCTCAGAGCAGTGTTCAAAAACACAATGTTTCATCCATCCTGGGATAAGGGATCTTAAAGAACACTTTTAAGACAAACATGCTTCAGTTAATGTGGGGCAGCCAGGCTCACCTCCAGAGCCAATTTCTCAGAGAGTTTAAATAGCATATGACAATTTAGTAATAATAGTGTATGTATTACAACCTGGCAGATCTTGCCATTCTTCTGACCACAAAGATTCAACTAGGAACAAGACCATGGCTCAAAATTTACCTGGGGACTTTTCCTGGAGCCACCAAGAAGGAACTTTTCCTCTTCCAACTGGTTTGGGAGACAGGAAGTTGTGGAGAAACAGAGTCAAACTAAAATAAAATGGCCTAAGGGACAGCCAGGAGATGGGCCTGGAGATACAGACGGATGCCCTGAATCAGCATGCCCATTCTTGAACTTCCCGAGTATAGAAAAGCCATAAATCTCTCTTTCTTCACTTTAAGCTACCTTGATTCATTTGGTACAGTTAGAATTTTGTTTTGTGCATTAAAATGAAATAAACAATGCTTTTAGGGGGACTCTATTTCCATTTCCTTCCTTCCATTCCTTGAACTCAACATGAAAGCCTCAAGCAAAATTAATCTGTATGTCACCAGCTATGTTGACTACATAAGACCCATGTAGCCCCACCACACACAGACATCACTCCTAGGTGGTATACCATCCAGATCTTGTCCCGCACTGAGATTTGACTCTTGAAGCTTCAGTTGCCTCACCTATGAACTAGAAGATAATGCACCGCACAGGATTCGTGGGAAGGTGGATAGAGTAAAAGTAGATACTTACAGGGGTTTCTTGGGAAAGTAGACTGCAGGTGAGTTTAAGACAGTGCTGGAGACTCAGTCTCCACAGGTACTAAAACAAAAACTAAGAATTCATCCAACTTTAAACTGTTAGCTCTACACCAGGAGAGCAGGATGGAGGAAGGGGGAAGAGGGCAAAAAGAATGGACAACACTCTTCAAGCCTCAGTAATAAACACAGCCACAAAACCCTGCCCACCTCCCGTTGGGGAGGAGCAGGAAGAAGGGGGACTCCTGTCAAAAGGGATCTTCAGCTGTGTGACTTGGGGTGTGATTAGACCCTTACCAGACCATCCTGATCACCCCTACCCTGGCTCATCCGGCCTCATTACGGAACCCGGCGGCACCCACACGCCCCGAAGAATGGAAGGCGCACCTTGGTGAGCGCGAGCGGTCGCAGGGCCGAGGCCAGGCCCGGGGCGTTCGCCTCCCGGGAGTAGCGCTGCGCGGCCGCGGAGCTGCCGTGGGCCCCTGGCCGCTGGGCCGCTCCGCAGCCGCACGAGCCCGCGAGGGACGCCGCGCCATCCCCGGCCCCGGCCTCTTCGCTCCGTGCTGCCCCGAACGCCAGCACCAGCAGCCAGAAGACGCGAGCTAGCCCGGTGAAGCATCCAAGAGGTGGCCCTGGCGCGGGCGCAGCCATGTTGTTCCGCCAGTCATGTGACCGACTGTGTCACGTGACCTGCCCTGCTTCAAGCACTGGCTTTGACTGTTAAGGAATAGACTGAGAACCCTTCCAGGTAGTTAATCTAGGACTTTCCAGCTAATGTTAAGAGTATGCAAAGCACCACAAAATTCTACAATATTCAAGGCCTTCCGCGGACAATGTACCCGTCTCTTCATGGTTGAAAAATGATATTCATCTTTATTCAGCATTTGCTAAGCACTAGTAGTATATTAAATAAATACTTTATTAAAACAACAAAGACAAAAAAAAAAACTTATTTAATCCTCATAATGATTCTGCAGTATTGGGATGACAAAACAATTAAGTGACCTGCCCAAATCAAGTATGATCTAAACCCAAGAAATCTTACCATAAACCATGAGTTTTAACCTTTATAAACAAGTAAAACGTACCCAAAAAGGAAAATAAACATGCTAAAGGACAGTACAGCATAGAGTAAAGGAAATCTAGGCTATGGGATGTGTACAACAACCCTTCTCTGGGCTGGCGGTGGTGGCAGAGGCAAGCAAATCTCTGTGAGTTCAAGGACAGCCTGGTCTACAAGAGCTAGTTCCAGGACAGGCACCAAAGCTACAGAGAAACCCTGTCTAGAAAAACCACAAAAAAAAAAGAAAGAAAAGAAAGAAAAAGTAAAAACGAACCACAAAACTTTTTCTCAAAGCCGGGACCACAGACCAACAGCAAGAGCATCACCTGGTAACTTACTAGAAATGCAAGACTTTATCAGAATCAATGGAAGCAGAATGCAGCAATCTGTTCACTCTCTGTCTCTTTGTCTCTGTCTCTGTCTGTGTGGGTAAGGAGGAGTAGGCGGGTGTGTGCCAAGGCCAGAAGAGGACATCTGGTGTTTTGCCCTATTACTCTCTGCCTTTGAGACAGTGTCTTTACTGAACTTGGAGCTAAACTGGAAGCCAGGAAACCCAGGAGATCCACTAGTCTCTAGCTCTTCTCAAAGGAATGGAGTCTCAGGCTTAGGCAGGGCCTAGGTTTCTATCGCATGCTGGACATTGCCCAGTCCTGTCTCCCACACTCCTTTCTACTGCTTATTTTAAAGACACTACACATGTATGTCCTGACTAATCTGGAACTTACTGTGTAGACAAGCTGGACTCAGACTTTCTGAAATCCTTATTCCTTTGCCTCCCAAGCGATGAGATTACAGACGTACACTCCTTACCATTCCCAGGTAAATCTTGTGTCTTAACAAGTTCTTTAATATCCCGATGCATTTAGGAGATGTCATGGGATTTTGTTGTTTGTTTTGACAAAGTCATGCTACATAGTCCAGGATGGCTTTGAACTGATGATCCTGCTGTCTCGTCCTGCAGAGGGCTTGTATTACATACCTATGCAACCATACCTGGCTCATATTAAAGTATACTAGTGACTATTCTACGGTTCCATCAGCAAATAGATTGTAAGACAAAAAGAAAAGAAAGATGAAAGGGGAAATCTACAGATTCTTAGAATAGACACAACAATGGCTTGATGTAATAGTAACTACTCTTAATATCAGGTATTCCACAGGAGGATGCCAGAGTCAGTAATGCCCAAGAGCTTGAGAGCAACCTGAAAAACAATCCAAAGGTATAGTATTATACTAATGAAATCCAATACATGTACCTTATATAAACAAAAGTAAGATATGTTTTAGTTATGTTTATTTATTTGTGTATTTTATGTGTCTGTGCGCCTTGAGTGGGAAGAGACTGTGGAAGCCAAAAGAAGAAATCATATTTCCTGGAACTGAAGTTATAGATAACTGTGAGCCACCATATGAATGCTGGGAATCAAACCTGGGTCCTCCAGAAGAGTAACACATGCTCTTGATCATTGAGCCATCTCTGCAGCCCATGATTTTGGGTTGTTAGCAGAAATAATGGTAATTGTGGCTCTCTGGGTTTCTGCTGTCTTTTCTTAAAGAGTTAATTTATTTGAGAGCTAGAAAGATAGTGCAGTAGTTAAAATCACTGTCTGCTCTTCCAATAGATCCAGGTTCAGTTTCCTTCATTCATATGGCAACTTGCAACCATCCATAACTTCAGTTCTAAAGGATCCAGTACCCTTGAGGGTACCAGCCATGCATGCAACACACTTTACGCCAATATATACAAAACTCAAATGCGTATGAAATAAAAATTTAATTTAAAAGATGATTCCTTTCCTGATTAATACATATAGAAACACTGTGTGTGTGTGTGTGTGTGTGTGTGTGTGAGAGAGAGAGAGAGAGAGAGAGAGAGAGAGAGAGAGAGAGACAGACACAGAGAGACAGAGATTGAGGATTTACTTCCTTAACCCCAACCCAAAAATGCCAGATGGGACAAGATGGGCCACCAGTTGATAACTGTGGTAACCAATTGATAAGTATATAAGCACATACTGAACTATTCTAACATATTTTTCAATTTTTTAATATAAAGTCCTTTCCTCCATGTTGACTGTTTCACAGAAGTTTTCCGAAAGCTTTCGTACATTATTTTCTTTGATATAACAAACAGTTGACAAGAAACCTATTACTATTATCATTTATTTTGAATTGGTGAGGCTGAAAGGTCACCACACAAACCAAAGCTTTTGTGTACACTCTACATTGTATGTATTCCCAATCAAGGATAATCTTTGCTTTTCTTTTGCAACAGCTCAGTGCTGGCATGTGATTGTGACTCAGAGAACTTTGATTTGTGGTTTGGGCTTCTGTGGCTGTGAGGAAACACCATGACCAAAAACAAATTGGGGAGGAAAGGGTTTATTTCAGCTTACAGTTGCATGTCACAGTCCCTTTCTGAGGACAGTCAGGGAAGGAACTTGAAGGCAGGAACTGATGCAGAGATCATAATGGAGTGTTGCTTACCAACTTGGTTGCTCATGGTCTGCTAAGCCTGCTTTCTTTCTTTTTTTATTTTTTTATTGTTTTGGTCTTTCTAGACAGGGCTTCTCTGTAGCTTTGGTGCCTATCCCGGAACTAGCTCTTGTAGACCAGGCTGGCCTCGAACTCCCAGAGATCCGCCTGCCTCTGCCTCCTAAGTGCTGGGATTAAAGGCGTGCCCCACCACCGCCCGGCTAAACCTGCTTTCTTATAGAACCCAGGACCACCAGTTTAGGGAGGGGCTGCTTACGTAAACTGGGCCCTGCCCTGTCATTCATCAATGAAGAAAAATGCCCTCAGTCTTACCTACAGGCCAATCCTATGGAGGCATTGTTTTTCCTCCAGTAAGATTTCCTCTTCCCAAACGACCCTAGCTTGTGTCAAGTTGACATAAAAACTGGCCAGTGCAATGGTCCTGTCACATCATTAAGCTGTAAGTCCCATGGAAGCTAAGGGTCTTGCAGGTTTGTTTACCGTGTCAGAAAAATCAAGCAAAGACCTGGCACACAATAAACATTGAAAGTGAACATTTATTGAATGATTGGATATACGAATAAAGCCATTATAAAACATTAGCTCTTTCTCTTAAGGGGAAGCAAAATGTTGAGAAAATAATACATAATTAAACTAGTAAGAGTTTTTTTGTTTAAAAATTGGCTGCTTAGAAAGGATATAAGCTAATCAAATTACATTATTCACAGAACATGGATGAAAAAAAGGTTGTAAAGAATGTAAGGGCCTGAGACTGGGAAGAGTTCTGAGAAATCAGAGCATTTGTGGTTACTTGTACAATACTGGGTCCCTCAACATTCCATCATGAATGGACATGGGGTTCATTAGGACCCACCCCCTCCCTGAGAAGCTATTGGCAATTACGAAATTATGTAGAAGAGAGAGTAATTTTCTTAAGTGATGTAACATCTGGTAAATTACACAGTCCCCAGTGACTCCCTCCACCATGCATGCACACACACTCACATATGCATGCATACTTCCACCTACCACACACACACACACACACACACACACACACACACACACTTATGATTATTCCTATAACTCTAATTAAATTCAGTTAATCACACACATACACAAAGAAAGAAAACAAAAATGAAGACATGAGAGGCTGGAACAACGGTTCAGCCACTAAGAGTACTGACTGTTCTTCCAGAGGACCCAAGATTTGATTCCTAGCACCCATATGTCAGCTCCTACCTATATGTAACTCCAGTTTCAGAAGATCCAGTGTCCTCCTCTGACCTCTATGGGCATCAGGACACATTCACGATGTCCTTCTATACATGCAGGCAAAACACTCACCATCTCTTAATTCATTGTATGAATTTCTTTTTGAACACCCATTCCTCTTTAAGGCAATAAATAATAAGAAATCAGATCCCTCTGTATTTCTGTGACCTTCCTTGTTCCTCTTATCTGACAAGACCCAGGTCTTAAAAGTGCCCTTTGTGCGATGATCAAGGGGAAGAACAAGAGAGAGTGTTCATAACAGTTGAGAGAGTGCTAATTAATGCAGGATCCCGCCAGCGGTACTATAAGTGATGCTGGTACCCCTGCACTGTTTGGGAAGACCCCTGACGATTCTTCTCACTGAGTTAGACTACTATCCATGACAAGTTAGACACTTCTCTTTGTTAGTCCCCGAACAGAGAGGAAGCCCCAGTGCTCTGTATTAGCGACTCTTCTGTTGCTGGGATAAAATAGCACAGCCAGACGCAACTTAAGGAAGAACATTTATTGTGGATTACAACTCTAAAGGGCCAGAGTCCATAATGCCAAGGATGGCATGGCAGCAGGAACAGGAAACCGACTGATCACATTTTCATCCACACACAGGAAACAGACATGAGGCAAAGCTATAAGCTCTCAAAGCCTCCCCCAGTGATCTACTTGATCCAGCAAAGCCTAAAAGTTCAATAACATCCCTAAACAGTTCCATCAACTCTGGACCAAATATTCAAATCATCACATGCCATAATGGCAGCATGGGATGAAGTTAATCGATATGCTTGCTAGGTCGACAGATACAGAACACTATGCTGGAGACGAGGGCCTTCAACTCTACAGACTCTA